AAAAAATTGTTAAGAATTAGAAAGGTATTGGCATAAATTTGGAAATTTCAAATTAGACGCAAATAGTGTAGTTAGTAGGAAAATGATTTATCAATCATGAATTTTTTAAAACTCGTCAGAGGAAGGTAATACGCTACTTTGACAAGATTTGCAAATTCATATTCAGGATATTGAACGTTTGTTCAAAGTGAATATATTTGATCGAGTAATCGACATTATTATTAAACAAATTAAAACGCGTTTCTTCCGATGAATTAATATGTTTCAAATTTCAGTATGTTGCTACAATAGAAGTTTTCAATTATACTGATCTATTAAATAAAAGCTCTAAAATTTGTACCATAAAAAAAACTTTTGTTCAGATTCTGAACCATTTGCCAGGGAAGTTTAGTTTGCGATCAACTTTTAGAGGCGGAATACGAAATACCTACTTCGGTAAGAAAAGATTTCATTTACTAAATAGCTTATTGAAGGTAACATTTTATTTTTATTTCAAAACAAAATATATACAGGGTTCATGCTATTGTTTCCTAATAAGCTAGACGACAAATGGTTTCATCTTCGTTATAAAAATCGTCTAAAAAGTATTGAAACGGATTGGAATATAATAATCTAGAAATCAATGATCAAATATATGATGAGAAAATATATGTTAAATCACAAAATATTTATTGTTAAATCATTTTAATTGCCCGAGGTTTTTCTCGGACTACGGTAATAAATTGCAAGTAATTAAAAACTATGTTGGAACTGATTAAAAATGCAGAATCATTGAAATCCATTAAATAACATTAAAATTATGAATATTGCAAAATCTTAATGAAAACAAAAATTATTTAAATTATTTCAGGTAGATAATAATATACATTCGAGGAATTGATTATTTTTATGGCTATAATTTGTAATTAACTATTTTATTCGCTGATAAAATAATTGACGAATAAATTGTCAAGTATAATATAAAGAAATTGTTAAATTATGAAATTTTCATTATTAAGTCATATTGTTTAGGTCGGAATGTAAAAATTAATTTGATAAAATATTTTTAAAATTAAATTACCTGCACGTTTTTTAATAGCAAAAGTAAATCAACTGTCAAATAATTGAAAATAGTAGCCATTTTATAAAGTAAATTTCATGAAAACTGGTTTTATTTTCAAATTTATCAATCGATAATGATATTTATTTTAGCATGATCAGATGTTTCATAAAATTGTTCAATAAATTAATTTTTATAACAACACTAAAAATTCAACTTCTTTCATATAAAAATTGATAAGATAATTTTTAAGGCAAAATTAAATTTGTTCGTCATAAATCATTATCGTCGTAACATGAAACATTTTAATAAATATTGCATAAAGTGCGATGTATTGTAAACGGACTGTAAATGTTGAATTGAATATAAATGTATGAAACCGGTTCTTTTGTTTGATTTACTCTCTATAAATTCGGACAGATTATTATCTACAGATATGGAATTATGTAACATTCCAATTATTCTGCATTTAAAGTGAAGTTTTGTAAAACAAATTGTTGCGAATGCATTTATAGATCTTTAACAGACAAAAGTAAACTAGAGGTGTATGGCATCGTGCCTTAAAGCAAATTGCTCGAACTTCCCGTACCGTAATGAAATATTCGAGAAATTTTAAACGTTTTCAAATATATTATTACAAATACTGTAACTTTCATTATTTTTGCTATCTTGCATATCTGAGCAATCAAAATCAAATGTGAACCATAAATCAATTTATCTCCAGAACATTAACAATCGTTCGTCATTTCATTTCGAATTCAATTTAAAAAAAATAGTTGCCCGCACTTGGGTAAATATTTGCACCAGAGTGGCGCTTAAACTGTGCTTAGCCTGGGTCATTTTTTTAATTTTTAATCCAAAATTACAAAAATATTTTTTGAAAAAAAAATTAGAAACAAAATTTTTTTTGCAAAAGCAATTATTTTGTTGAAACAAGCAGAAAGTTCTTTGAATCATTCAAATCGGATACTTAGTTCTCTCAAAAACTGCCATTTTCTAACATTTAGCTCTATCTCCGAAACCGTTGGGCCTACCTTTGCCAAAAACTAATACCCACTTTTCCTTGTCATTACGAACTGAATGTTTTTTGGATCATACAAATTGGATGATCCGTTCGCTCAAAAACTCTCAAAAACTTCTATTTTCTGCACTCTTTGCTCCATATCTCCGTAACGGCTTGACCTGCCTTTGCCAAAAACTAATCAGCACATCTCCCTATCAATACAAATCGAATGTTTTTTAAACCATTCGAATTAGTTGATCCGTGCGCCCGAAAACGTGGACGAAAAAATGCGGACATACAAAACACACACACACACATCCATTACTTTTCTGAGATATGCCTTAAAATGTTCAGAAACCTTCAAAACGTCAAAAAATGCAAAAATTTTCATTTTTGATTTTCGGCCCATTGCTATAACTACCCTACCGGAAGTTAATTAGATGATCAAAGTAGTAATCAAAGTCATTTAATCTAATTTTAAACGTATGTTATGAAAAGCATGCATGCAAATGCGTTCTAATATAAAATTTGAAAACAATTTAATCAAAACAAATACTAATATTGGGTCTATTGTTTAATTACTAACTACTCAGTAATATTATTGTGAAATAAACAAATACTGAAAGAATAGAAAAGGCGTACAGATATTTAAAACATTTAACTAATTCATAAAAAGAAACCAATTTGCAAGCTGAATCGCAAATTCCTTAACAAATTCATAAAAGTAAACTAATTTGTATGAAACTAACTTAATAAAAGTGTGGAAACTTTTAGAAAAATTAGGAATCATTTACATGTAATCGAAATATGCCAATGTTATCAGCGTTGTATTCTGTAGCGTCTGTGGCGTGTTTTTTGCGCAACTTGACAGACTGGTGCAAGCGAGTAGGCATGAGCACTTTTTCATTATTTTAATTGCGCAATCGTTCAAGTCGGCTAGTTCATTCGTTGGCCGCGTTTGGCAGCACATGTCCCCATTTTTATTTTACTTTGTAGCGAATTCATAATACAAGTTTATGAAGTTATCGACAATTAAAAGTTATGAAATTAGCCCTATGAACACTTTGAATTCTCTTCTGATGCTGTAAATATATAAATTAATAAAAAAAAAGAGTGCGCGTAAGGATCACACGCGATTGAAGTAAAACTTTTAATATTGTATGAGTAGGCAATTAAGATAAAAATAAAAAAAACATCATATTTGAATTTTAAAAATCATCTTTTAATAATCATATAACATCAATAATAATAAGATCTCCTGAGCATCGGCACAGCTGTCCTACTGATATTAAGAGTTTGAATATGATGTGAAGCTTTCTTCCTAATTTTGTTACCTATCTTACCGGGAAATTCAAACCATAAACGTAGAAGTTCATCATTATCGCCACGTTCTATGTACACTAATTTTCCCACACAACCATTAGCTAAGCCATCACTTACATCAATATTAGATGTTATTATGTAAAATTTATTCAGAACTAAAATTATTCCATACGGCAAAGCCCCGGTATCAATAACCGATTTTTTTGAAACTGCTGACGAATGTATGATTGTTGATCTGTCGCATGGCAACCTACATAAATATCCGTGGCAGTAGATATTATTTTGTCTTCAACGAGATTCAATATAAATTTATTATATTCCATGGCACATTTATTCTCTAAGAAAAGTCTTATTCCATGAGGACATAATACAGCAACCTCTTCTTTTGTAAAAAAAACGTGATTCAATTAATGCAAGTTCATATAGGGTTTAGCGCTCGACTTACGCATGACATGACGGGAGTGGATACTCGCGACATCAGCGCTTACGGCGTCGTAGTGTTCAACTACACGTTGGCATTTTCGTTGCATTTGTACGGATTTACACCCGTGTCGCGCCTAAAAATGTTTACACCCATATCGCGCCTAAAGAAGTTTTACTTCAAAAAATATATTTTTAGGTTATGTTTTGACATTTATTATTTGACATTTGTGATATGCTTGCGCAAGTACTTGAACATAAACTTGAACCGTCTGTGGGCGCTGTGAAAATACGCCTGGTTGCGCATTCATTCAGTTGCACAAGTATACAGTTACGTCTGTGGTCGGCTTTATACGTCAGAAGTGTTTCACATCCGCTGCAGAGTTGAATGGGATTTTAGCGTTATTATGTTTTATTTTGTGTGGTTTTCGTTCTATGTGTTCGTCTATTATTTTCCGGTGTTTTTTGCTACCTCGTTTTTTAATTATTTTGTGCGTTATTAATACGGTTTTAGTATAATTTTCTTGTGAATCGTGTGTTGCTCGTCATTATTATATTAACATTTATTTTTTTAATTACTAAGTTTATTATTTTGTTCATATTTTTCTAGGTTCAGGTCTTTTTCTTTGTTTTTACGTGTTTTATAGGTTAGGGTTATTATATTACTATTTATGTTCTAGCTATTTTACAATTATTAGATCGCTTTAGAAGTAGGTATTCCTGCATTATTTTATTTTTCGACAAATATATAAGGTACGTTTTAATCACTTAGGTAAGGTTGCATTTCAATTCATAGCTAGGTTACATTTAGGTTAGATTTCATTTCATTTAAGAATTTCATATTTATCTCGTTAGTTGATTCCTACGTTACTTTTAGCTTATATTATAGGTTTAATATTTTAGTTCATATTTCTTTTTTATACATAAGTTATCTTTTAATTGTAGCTTAAGTTAGTTTAGGATTATACTATAGTTCAACCCCTTTCTTTTTTATATTCAATATGAAAAAGCAAAACCAATGTATCCATCGCTTTAAAACTTTTGCTTCCACTTGTTCTCTTTGCCGTCACAACAGGTTAGTACATCACATACAGTCTAAGGAGTACTTTCAAAATTTTGAATGTAAGTTTTGCCAAAAAATTTTGCATGCTCCTTCCTCATTACAAAGGCACATCAAAACTTTTCATTCTTCCGTTCCTGATACATCTCCTACAGACTCCAAACTCCAATGCACGTATTTTTATGATTCCCGAATTAATCCAGAAACATCCCTTGCGCTGCATTCTTATGCTCTACCCTCTTCATTAATTCCTTCCACTACTTCTTATTCATGTACCCTTACTGCTTCACAAACTTCTTACACAACTCTTCCTGCTTTGCCAAATCCTTCTACATCATTTTCTTCTTTACCAATACCAACGACTCTTCCTGTTTCACCAATTCCTACAACATCCTTCCACTCGGATGCGCTTCCTGCTTCACCAATTCATATGACAACCGCTAATTCCAATACTGTTTCCTTTATTCGACAACCATCTTCCCCACTACTTTTCCAATCATCCAGATCGCTCACATTCTTTCCAGTGACCCCAACGCGACCCAGACCCCAAGATAATGCTTCGCTGTACTCAGAACATTTTACAGGTATTAATATATAAGTATTATTTAAATATATTTAATATTTACTAATATCTACAAAGTTATCATAATTGTTCATTCATAGGTTCTCCAAGGGTTCTCAGAATTACTTGCCTCATTGAGGATTGCGGGAATTCTTACACACGGTACAGCGCACTACAAAAACATATTGAGTGTCATCATCACATCAATATTGAACACAAAGACAAACTGTTTTCTTCTATTAATGGTTTGTCAACTTTTAATTATGAAGATTTTCAACAAACATTTCTATAATTTCATCTTTTTCTATAGATTTTTACAGCTGGAAAACTGAGATGGAACAGAACAGCATTACGTCATATGTGAAGGACACTGCAGCATACATAACAAAAGACAATTGCTGCACCATTCAATATTATAATTGCCATCGATCACACAGTCACCAAACAAAGGAAACATGTTTAAGAGGTAGCAAAAAAATTGGGCATGCTTGTCCCTCACGAATTATGTTCAAGGTGTATAATGACGGACATGTTGAAGTTGATTACTGGAAGACACATGTGGGACATGAAAATTTGATAAAATATGTGCGGATGGATCAAAATTTAATCAGAAACATCAAGGGTATAATCATAGCTGGGCACCGTTAATCAAATAGTTAACTTCGTTAATCGTTAATCCGCTACAAAAAAAGTTAGCTTCGTTAAACGTTAAAGCGTTATATTTCGGAAGAATTAACGCAAGTTAACGTTAATCGTTAATCCGTTAATATGTGCAAAATTACATTTTTATATCGTTGCGTTAGTAAACTTAAAAAACTTATTGGTTTAGGTTCTGGAAGTTAATAAAACAAAATACTTGTATAATTCAAATGTGTAATTTAACCCCTCGCGCGTTTTATGCACACTTCCGTGTGTATAAGGAAAATGGCACAATTATCACACACCATGATAATAACGCTATTGGTCAATTTTCCGTTTTTATGATTGCATATTGTTTTTACAAGATTTTTTTTTCTAAATAAAGTGAAGGAGTTTTTTAACTTTCCCGTAGGGCAAGTTATAGTAATCGCAAAAAAAATCGAAAATGAAACTTTTTGCATTTCTCGACGTTTCAAAGGTTTCTGAATATTTTGGCATACCTTAACAAAAATGGATGTATGTGTGTGTGTGTGTGCATGTGCGTGTATGTATGTGTATTTGGATACAAATTTTCGTCGACGATTTCGGGAACACGGATCAACCGATTTGAATAATTCAAAAATCATTCGATTCGATAAGGAGTGCTGATTAGTTTTTGGTGAAGGCAGGTCTAGTCGTTCCGAAGATACGGGGCAAAATTGTGCCGAAAACGGTAACTCAGTTTTTAAGAGAATGGAGCGTCCGATTTTAATAATTCAAAAAACATTTTACTTGTATTGGGAATGTAGGTCTAGCGGTTTCGGAGATCTAATGAAAAAAGTAAAAAAAATGCCATTTGACGGTCAAAAATGATCATTAGACATATGCACATCAAATTATCAGATATTTTATAGAGATTTTAACAATAAGTATAAATTTTGTTTACATTTCTATGGGTTCCGTACCAATGTTTGTCTTTTAGACAGCGACGCGGCGCTTACGCGCTTTATATTTTGTCTCTATGCAGTTAAAGCAGTACGATTGCTTTGAAAAAAAGTTCAGATCTTCCAAAATATGTCAAAATAAAGAAAACATTTTTTTTTTCAAAAAAGTAATTTTTTGTCCAATTTATAGTTTCTCAAAAATCTTATTTTTTCGAAGTAAATTTTTTTCAAAAATGTTAATCGTTTTTAAAAAAAATAATAATTTTTGGTACGGGAAGTTGCAGCAATTTGCCTTAAGGAACGATGCCTTAATTTCCTTAAGACAGAATTCCATTTACAGCTAGTTTCTGCGAAAAATAGGAAACGCGCGACGGGTTAAGCGTCGGAAATAAGGTGCATATTCCCCTTCATGAACGAGAACTAGCGAGGCTCGCTTTGGTGTCAAAATGTCTTTACCCGTGGAAAACAAACTTTCAACTGCAGCGCTTGAGGGTATAGCAGTACTGTATTTAATAAATAGATTTATGAATATCTGTTTCCCGAGGAATGCAGGATCATTGAACGAGTCTTTTGATTTCATATCCAGCCACATTTTAACGAGACTATGCGCTTTATTCTTTAAAGAGTTTGTAGCTCTTTGGTTTTTCTATAGACTGAGTGACAGAATTGAAAAAGTCTTCCTTCTCGTCATCATCGTTGTTACTCGCATTGCTCCCTCCGCCACTTAAACTATCTCTGTCCTTCGAATTTTTCGCTGCTTCTTGCCGTAAGGCATCTTCTACTTTTTTTCCGTGCATTTTCTTACTGCATCCACTCTACTACTGTCATACGTTTCCAGCCACATCAACCGAAACTTTGGGTGAAATGCCGCGGCAAGTTGGCACTGTTCATCATTCAGGAGAGGTGCAAATCTTTTCTCTATGCCATTTAATAAGGCATTGGCTAAAGCTGTGCCGTGCGGTAAATAGTAGGCATTGGATTAACGATTAACGGATTTCTCGCATTTTAACGGAAGTTAACGTGTCCGTTAACATTTTTAAAAGTTAATCCGTTAATCAGAATGTTAACTTCGTTAATTAACGATTAACGGATTAACGAGTTAATGCCCAGCTATGGGTATAATTAATTTATTTTCATAAATGCAATTATCACATTGTTGTAAGTTCTTTGTCATTTGTAATATATTTTTTCCAGATCAAATTAAAGCAGGCGTAGATGATGACTTTATTATAAAAAACATACGTGAAGATTGTTATAACAAAAAATTGCTGAGACCACTGAGAGCTTCCATAAAAAGGCGGGTGTTACCACCAAATGATACCTTTATAAATAAAAATGATTCAAGAAGTGTAGCCGATTCTTTGCATTCAATGCTGGAAATAATTTAATTATCTTCATAATTAACTATTATTGATGTTTGATTTGTTTGCATAATTCATTTAAAGTTATGCCATTCATTCAAGTTATGGAAATGTGTTTCAAATTGTAAATATCTATACATTATATAGCCTTGCCAGTATCATAACACACTGCTTATGTGAGCATTTTTGTATCTAATGACAAATAATTTAATTATGTTAATTAAATGTGATTGGTGGAGCGAATTGCTGCTCCAATATTCAAAAAAACTGCAACAACGCAGAAAGCTGTTCGCTTCATACAGGGCAATAAAAAATATTTACCCGAAATATTAGGTATAATAGTCAGTACAACTTTAAGCGTCACCAAGAAAACACATAAGAAGTACCCGCTTGACGAGCGAAAGCAGTCATAATTCTTTTAAGTTTGTTATTATAATTAACCGCCCGACTCGCGAAACCAGTCAAAGTTAACCTAAAATAATATTATACAACCTTACTAATAAGTGAAATAAATTATTGAACTACAAGGTGTGTTTCAATATAAACCCAATATTACATTTATGGGAATTGTCCCAATTGGTATTTGCTTTATTTGCATAAATATATTTATTATACCATGCTTTAACAATATTATGGAAATAGGTTTTAAATTGTAAATATATGTATATTAATATGTTCTATAATTTCAATAAATTTTTATTTTTATAAATGAATAGTTTTTCTTCTTTTATAAAAAACAGTATATTTTTGATAAAAAAAAAACAATGCTAAAGCTTATGTTAATGCATTAATCTTTTATTTGTTGACCAAAATTAGGTTCAATTTTTCAATACCATACGTACTGTTAATTTTATAAAAATAATAATTTAATAAAAAGAATTTCAAATACCTAATTAATTGAGAATTTAACAAATTTCAGCTATATAAATGCACTTCACAACTATTTCGACAGATTATTTATTATTCACATTTTTATATGACAAGAACTTTTTCGGAAAAAACAGTTGTACGTTTATTTAACTTACTGAATAAAACTTCTTATACAAGTACTACATTTTACCACTTTCAGACTTAATATGATTATTACTATATACTATGACAGTACTAAATCCTCTACGTAATATTATGATCGTAGAGAAAAATTAAATATATATAATATTGATATACATTAATATATGAGAGCTGAAATTAAATTGTAACTGTCACATTGACGTCTATGAACTGTCATTATGTACTAGGGTTATTTACACTTTTATATTGGTACGCCTGCTTTGTTTGTCACCTCTTCATGAAGTATATTGTCGTGTCAAAAAATGGCCGCCAGTGACTGCATGAGGAACCGTGTGTCTCCCACTACTAGGAGAGGATTGCACATGCATGCATGTTGCACACGGTTCCTCATGCAGTCACTGGCGGCCATTTTTTGACACGACAATATACTTCATGAAGAGGTGACAAACAAAGCAGGCGTACCAATATAAAAGTGTAAATAACCCTAGTACATAATGACAGTTCATAGACGTCAATGTGACAGTTACAATTTAATTTCAGCTCTCATATATTAATGTATATCAATATTATATATATATTTAATTTTTCTCTACGATCATAATATTACGTAGAGGATTTAGTACTGTCATAGTATATAGTAATAATCATATTAAGTCTGAAAGTGGTAAAATGTAGTACTTGTATAAGAAGTTTTATTCAGTAAGTTAAATAAACGTACAACTGTTTTCTCCGAAAAAGTTCTTGTCATATAAAAATGTGAATAATAAATAATCTGTCGAAATAGTTGTGAAGTGCATTTATATAGCTGAAATTTGTTAAATTCTCAATTAATTAGGTATTTGAAATTCTTTTTATTAAATTATTATTTTTATAAAATTAACAGTACGTATGGTATTGAAAAATTGAACCTAATTTTGGTCAACAAATAAAAGATTAATGCATTAACATAAGCTTTAGCATTGTTTTTTTTTATCAAAAATATACTGTTTTTTATAAAAGAAGAAAAACTATTCATTTATAAAAATAAAAATTTATTGAAATTATAGAACATATTAATATACATATATTTACAATTTAAAACCTATTTCCATAATATTGTTAAAGCATGGTATAATAAATATATTTATGCAAATAAAGCAAATACCAATTGGGACAATTCCCATAAATGTAATATTGGGTTTATATTGAAACACACCTTGTAGTTCAATAATTTATTTCACTTATTAGTAAGGTTGTATAATATTATTTTAGGTTAACTTTGACTGGTTTCGCGAGTCGGGCGGTTAATTATAATAACAAACTTAAAAGAATTATGACTGCTTTCGCTCGTCAAGCGGGTACTTCTTATGTGTTTTCTTGGTGACGCTTAAAGTTGTACTGACTATTATACCTAATATTTCGGGTAAATATTTTTTATTGCCCTGTATGAAGCGAACAGCTTTCTGCGTTGTTGCAGTTTTTTTGAATATTGGAGCAGCAATTCGCTCCACCAATCACATTTAATTAACATAATTAAATTATTTGTCATTAGATACAAAAATGCTCACATAAGCAGTGTGTTATGATACTGGCAAGGCTATATAATGTATAGATATTTACAATTTGAAACACATTTCCATAACTTGAATGAATGGCATAACTTTAAATGAATTATGCAAACAAATCAAACATCAATAATAGTTAATTATGAAGATAATTAAATTATTTCCAGCATTGAATGCAAAGAATCGGCTACACTTCTTGAATCATTTTTATTTATAAAGGTATCATTTGGTGGTAACACCCGCCTTTTTATGGAAGCTCTCAGTGGTCTCAGCAATTTTTTGTTATAACAATCTTCACGTATGTTTTTTATAATAAAGTCATCATCTACGCCTGCTTTAATTTGATCTGGAAAAAATATATTACAAATGACAAAGAACTTACAACAATGTGATAATTGCATTTATGAAAATAAATTAATTATACCCATAGCTGGGCATTAACTCGTTAATCCGTTAATCGTTAATTAACGAAGTTAACATTCTGATTAACGGATTAACTTTTAAAAATGTTAACGGACACGTTAACTTCCGTTAAAATGCGAGAAATCCGTTAATCGTTAATCCAATGCCTACTATTTACCGCACGGCACAGCTTTAGCCAATGCCTTATTAAATGGCATAGAGAAAAGATTTGCACCACTCCTGAATGATGAACAGTGCCAACTTGCCGCGGCATTTCACCCAAAGTTTCGGTTGATGTGGCTGGAAACGTATGACAGTAGTAGAGTGGATGCAGTAAGAAAATGCACGGAAAAAAAGTAGAAGATGCCTTACGGCAAGAAGCAGCGAAAAATTCGAAGGACAGAGATAGTTTAAGTGGCGGAGGGAGCAATGCGAGTAACAACGATGATGACGAGAAGGAAGACTTTTTCAATTCTGTCACTCAGTCTATAGAAAAACCAAAGAGCTACAAACTCTTTAAAGAATAAAGCGCATAGTCTCGTTAAAATGTGGCTGGATATGAAATCAAAAGACTCGTTCAATGATCCTGCATTCCTCGGGAAACAGATATTCATAAATCTATTTATTAAATACAGTACTGCTATACCCTCAAGCGCTGCAGTTGAAAGTTTGTTTTCCACGGGTAAAGACATTTTGACACCAAAGCGAGCCTCGCTAGTTCTCGTTCATGAAGGGGAATATGCACCTTATTTCCGACGCTTAACCCGTCGCGCGTTTCCTATTTTTCGCAGAAACTAGCTGTAAATGGAATTCTGTCTTAAGGAAATTAAGGCATCGTTCCTTAAGGCAAATTGCTGCAACTTCCCGTACCAAAAATTATTATTTTTTTTAAAAACGATTAACATTTTTGAAAAAAATTTACTTCGAAAAAATAAGATTTTTGAGAAACTATAAATTGGACAAAAAATTACTTTTTTGAAAAAAAAAAATGTTTTCTTTATTTTGACATATTTTGGAAGATCTGAACTTTTTTTCAAAGCAATCGTACTGCTTTAACTGCATAGAGACAAAATATAAAGCGCGTAAACGCCGCGTCGCTGTCTAAAAGACAAACATTGGTACGGAACCCATAGAAATGTAAACAAAATTTATACTTATTGTTAAAATCTCTATAAAATATCTGATAATTTGATGTGCATATGTCTAATGATCATTTTTGACCGTCAAATGGCATTTTTTTTACTTTTTTCATTAGATCTCCGAAACCGCTAGACCTACATTCCCAATACAAGTAAAATGTTTTTTGAATTATTAAAATCGGACGCTCCATTCTCTTAAAAACTGAGTTACCGTTTTCGGCACAATTTTGCCCCGTATCTTCGGAACGACTAGACCTGCCTTCACCAAAAACTAATCAGCACTCCTTATCGAATCGAATGATTTTTGAATTATTCAAATCGGTTGATCCGTGTTCCCGAAATCGTCGACGAAAATTTGTATCCAAATACACATACATACACGCACATGCACACACACACACACATACATCCATTTTTGTTAAGGTATGCCAAAATATTCAGAAACCTTTGAAACGTCGAGAAATGCAAAAAGTTTCATTTTCGATTTTTTTTTGCGATTACTATAACTTGCCCTACGGGAAAGTTAAAAAACTCCTTCACTTTATTTAGAAAAAAAAAATCTTGTAAAAACAATATGCAATCATAAAAAACGGAAAATTGACCAATAGCGTTATTATCATGGTGTGTGATAATTGTGCCATTTTCCTTATACACACGGAAGTGTGCATAAAACGCGCGAGGGGTTAAATTACACATTTGAATTATACAAGTATTTTGTTTTATTAACTTCCAGAACCTAAACCAATAAGTTTTTTAAGTTTACTAACGCAACGATATAAAAATGTAATTTTGCACATATTAACGGATTAACGATTAACGTTAACTTGCGTTAATTCTTCCGAAATATAACGCTTTAACGTTTAACGAAGCTAACTTTTTTTGTAGCGGATTAACGATTAACGAAGTTAACTATTTGATTAACGGTGCCCAGCTATGATTATACCCTTGATGTTTCTGATTAAATTTTGATCCATCCGCACATATTTTATCAAATTTTCATGTCCCACATGTGTCTTCCAGTAATCAACTTCAACATGTCCGTCATTATACACCTTGAACATAATTCGTGAGGGACAAGCATGCCCAATTTTTTTGCTACCTCTTAAACATGTTTCCTTTGTTTGGTGACTGTGTGATCGATGGCAATTATAATATGAATGGTGCAGCAATTGTCTTTTGTTATGTATGCTGCAGTGTCCTTCACATATGACGTAATGCTGTTCTGTTCCATCTCAGTTTTCCAGCTGTAAAAATCTATAGAAAAAGATGAAATTATAGAAATGTTTGTTGAAAATCTTCATAATTAAAAGTTGACAAACCATTAATAGAAGAAAACAGTTTGTCTTTGTGTTCAATATTGATGTGATGATGACACTCAATATGTTTTTGTAGTGCGCTGTACCGTGTGTAAGAATTCCCGCAATCCTCAATGAGGCAAGTAATTCTGAGAACCCTTGGAGAACCTATGAATGAACAATTATGATAACTTTGTGGATATTAGTAAATATTAAATATATTTAAATAATACTTATATATTAATACCTGTAAAATGTTCTGAGTACAGCGAAGCATTATCTTGGGGTCTGGGTCGCGTTGGGGTCACTGGAAAGAATGTGAGCGATCTGGATGATTGGAAAAGTAGTGGGGAAGATGGTTGTCGAATAAAGGAAACAGTATTGGAATTAGCGGTTGTCATATGAATTGGTGAAGCAGGAAGCGCATCCGAGTGGAAGGATGTTGTAGGAATTGTGAAACAGGAAGAGTCGTTGGTATTGGTAAAGAAGAAAATGATGTAGAAGGATTTGGCAAAGCAGGAAGAGTTGTGTAAGAAGTTTGTGAAGCAGTAAGGGTACATGAATAAGAAGTAGTGGAAGGAATTAATGAAGAGGGTAGAGCATAAGAATGCAGCGCAAGGGATGTTTCTGGATTAATTCGGGAATCATAAAAATACGTGCATTGGAGTTTGGAGTCTGTAGGAGATGTATCAGGAACGGAAGAATGAAAAGTTTTGATGTGCCTTTGTAATGAGGAAGGAGCATGCAAAATTTTTTGGCAAAACTTACATTCAAAATTTTGAAAGTACTCCTTAGACTGTATGTGATGTACTAACCTGTTGTGACGGCAAAGAGAACAAGTGGAAGCAAAAGTTTTAAAGCGATGGATACATTGGTTTTGCTTTTTCATATTGAATATAAAAAAGAAAGGGGTTGAACTATAGTATAATCCTAAACTAACTTAAGCTACAATTAAAAGATAACTTATGTATAAAAAAAGAAATATGAACTAAAATATTAAACCTATAATATAAGCTAAAAGTAACGTAGGAATCAACTAACGAGATAAATATGAAATTCTTAAATGAAATGAAATCTAACCTAAATGTAACCTAGCTATGAATTGAAATGCAACCTTACCTAAGTGATTAAAACGTACCTTATATATTTGTCGAAAAATAAAATAATGCAGGAATACCTACTTCTAAAGCGATCTAATAATTGTAAAATAGCTAGAACATAAATAGTAATATAATAACCCTAACCTATAAAACACGTAAAAACAAAGAAAAAGACCTGAACCTAGAAAAATATGAACAAAATAATAAACTTAGTAATTAAAAAAATAAATGTTAATATAATAATGACGAGCAACACACGATTCACAAGAAAATTATACTAAAACCGTATTAATAACGCACAAAATAATTAAAAAACGAGGTAGCAAAAAACACCGGAAAATAATAGACGAACACATAGAACGAAAACCACACAAAATAAAACATAATAACGCTAAAATCCCATTCAACTCTGCAGCGAATGTGAAAGACTTCTGACGTATAATACAGCAAACTTCACACCCCAAAAAGGAACATTGTAGTGACTGCATAAGGACACTCATCTAAACACCGGATTAGCAAAGTGCTGAAACGAAAAAATCACGGTACCAACATTCAAAAAATCAGAAATTCTTCTGAGGCATACCAACAGCAGACCATTCATATATGTCAAAACATTTGTCGCAACTGTCGAAACTTAACCTCAATTTCTTATTTTGGTGTTTAGTAATAATTTTTCATTCAGTCAGAAATTTGTTGCAATATTGGATTTTTGTTATGTATGGTAGATTTCAATTGAAGAACACTGGTAAACGTGAACTATTTAGTGTGCATAAATTTGCTTGATCACAAAAATGTATAATTATGTAAGCCAAATACTGCTACATTTACAATCTTTCGTATTTATTATATCAAGACTACGTGTATGATACAATATCAAAATTAAATTTTTTTACCATTTCTTATATCTGTTCCATACTAGTGTGCAATATAATTGTTGAAAACTTCAAATATTGTTGACTACAAATGATTGAATTTTAGAACACCATGTTTATTATCAGAATAAGTGCATTATTCAAATCCAGGACTGTTCCAGTGTTTAACAGTAGTTTAAACTGTAGGATGCAACATTGAATAACTGAAAACTATTAGATCACTATTTAACTATTTAACTATTTTTTTTTAAAAAAAAGATAAAGCATAATTGTGGTAATATTTTTTATTAAATGTGAATTAAATATATAGTTATTTACAATAAATAGTTTATGAGTTAAAATCTATTTACACAATGTTAATATTAATGAGTAAAGCATGGCGTGAAAGAAAATTAGAAAACAAATTGTACCACATACCAATATAACACACAACCACATACCAGTCAAACACAATTCTTCATGATTCAAAACTTACTATTAGTAATGTTATAATAAATAAATCAAATATTCACAATTTAAAACCTATCACTATAAAATGTAATAATAAATAAATCATATTTACAATTAAAATACCACAATTAAAACCATAATGTAATAATAAATAAAAAATATATCGACAATTCAAAACGTATCACCGTAATGTAACAATTAATATCATATTTACAATTCAAAACCTATTACTGTAAAGTAACAATAAATAAATCATATTGACAATTCAAAACCTATTACCATAATATGAAAAGAAATATCATATTTACAATTTAAAAACTATTACATTATTATAGATTTTTATAAATCAACCAACCAGTCAATTTATCATTTGACTTAATTGTCATTGAACTAATCAGTCCTATCTTTACGTTTCAAAGGTTTCTGAACATTTGGGCATAGCTTACAAAAAAAAAAAGATGTATATAAAATACATAGGATAATTACCTATTTGAAAATGTTTAAAACAATTATTATAATCAAAAATCAATATTTATTGATTACTGATTTTTTTTCCCTCGAATATTTAATTCCGGTGCAAAAAGTTCCAGCAATTTGCCTTAAGGTACGATGCCTTGCACCATAGTTTCTTTTCCTAATTGTTATTATATTTAAGAGAATAAAACCAGTTCCCTCTGTATGAATGTATACATACCTGTTTATGTGGTGTATGCGTACACATAGAATACATTTTCCGCTTCTCTCGTAAGTCATCAACCATCTGCATTCTTCTTCTTCCCTTATATTAAAATATGCATAACAATTTATTTTCTGGTGTTCCCATGACATGGGACCAAACATTGAAATATGCTGGTGTATCATCAGTCACAAATGTTGTTGTCTTTATCATCTCTTTTCGATACTCTCATCACTTTCGATTTGTCGAAAGGACAATATAAAATATTGCAATAGATTGATTGCTTCACAATATAACTAAAATAAATAAATAAATAAATAAATAAATCAAATATAAATAAATTAAATAATTTAAATAGCAATTTAAGCTTCTTGTTATTTGCATTCATTCTTTGACACTCCATTTTTTTATTTGTGCGAACTCCATTACTTTCTTTAAATGAGGACATTTGGTTTAGGATTGTGCATTAAATTGTGCTTAAATTTTTTATGCATAGTGCACTATCAACAACCTGTCCATTTTTTATGGCATTTTCAATTTCGCCAGTTAGTTTTAACATAGTATAGAGATCTAATTTTCTGGTTCTTTGTCAATTTCATTGTGTGATTCTTCTAAGTCTGTCAACTGTTCAGATTTTTCGTGCATCACTTCTTCCAGAACCGCACGTCTGTATCCAGTATCAATTGGAAATACTCTTACACATGCATGAATATGTTGGCAAATGATGGATCTTACCACATAATCTATGCAAGTGCAAGAGTATGTATGAAAGCATATCATACATGTTTCACATCGCAGTAAAATTAATGTAATAATCTAAGTGATTAAACTAAAGTTAAGAATCTAAGTGAATAAAGTAAATTAATCAATAAAAGTGATAGGGGCTGAAAATAGAATGAAACTAAAAGCTAATGAGATGAAAAAACTCGCGTCTCTTGCTGAAAAGAAACTAACCTTATTCCCTATAGAAGCTCTTGAATCCCGCAATAAAACAACAAATATGAAATGTAAAGAAATAAAATAGCGCACAATCAACAAAAGCACAAAATGATTAGTACACGTAGCAAAAAAACGTAATGAAAGAAAACGCGAATAAAAAATATAAAATACGAGACGACCGAGTTACACAATAAGCACGCCGAAAAAAAAAATTATAGTAATGGAGTAATCGTAACAGCGAATCCAACATAAAAAAGTTGAAAGCACAGTGCAAAAGATTTGACAAATCTGTAATGTGTTACAACTAACTTCAGCCAGCTTTCTCAGCACTTTGTTATCCGGTGTTTAGAAACCCTAGTGGGAGAGGCCGTTATAGAGCGGCGCGAAATTTGAATACAAAATTTAATCGTTCAATAATTGATTTTCGTAAATAAGATCCTAAAAATAACGTATCTATCAAGCTTTAATAAAAACTCCTTCAGTAACTTTCAATCATTTTTAAAAGATTCCAAAATTTTCAAACAAGTTTGTAAGGAATAAATTGGATATAAATCATTTTCAAACTTCACTTCTAGTGATGTAACTAAACACAATACAAAATATTATTTATGACATCTATCTTAAAATTTCATTTTTATACTGTTACAATAATAATAATCTCTTTTATTTATTTACTTCTATATTTTTACTTTGTTTTGTTGCTGGAAAACCAGAACAAATCCTTCTAGCAACTTCAAATTAAATGCAGGACTCAAAAGCTTTCTTGAACTACGCCATTTACTAACTAAAAGGAAAAATACAAATCATATATATATATATATATATATATATATATATATATATACATAGCTGGGCACCGTTAATCAAATAGTTAACTTCGTTAATCGTTAATCCGCTACAAAAAAAGTTAACTTCGTTAAACGTTAAAGCGTTACATTTCGGAAGAATTAACGCAAGTTAACGTTAATCGTTAATCCGTTAATATGTGTAAAATTACATTTTTATATCGTTGCGTTAGTGAACTTAAAAAACTTATTAACTTCCCGTAGGGCAAGTTATAGTAATCGCAAAAAATCGAAAATGAAAATTTTTATATATCTTTACGTTTCAAAGGTTCCTGAACATTTTGGCATACCTTAGAAAAAATGGATGTATGTGTGTGTGTTGGTATGTATGTATGTATGTACGTGTGTGTATGTATGTGCGGATACAAATTTTCGTCGACGATTTCGGGAACACGGATCAACCGATTTCAATAATTCAAAAAACATTCGATTTGTATTGATAAGGAGACGTGCTGATTAGTTTTTGGCGAAGGCAGGTCTAGCCGTTCCGAAGATACGGGACAAAAAGTGCCGAAAACGGTAACTCAGTTTTTAAGAGAACGGAGCGTCCGATTTGAATAA